CCCCACGTGCACAGCGGCCCAGTGGTCAGCGCTGGAGTGGTGCGGAGGGCCCGGCGCAGGGGCAGAGGGGACCGGGAGGGGGGGCTGCCGCCCCGTTCACACGCCTGGCGATCTCCCTTTTCTCTTTCAGCAGCTGGATAGGCGTAGGCAGTCTCTGAGGGACAGCAAGGTGACAGCCCCTTTTCCCCGCAAGCCTCGGCTTCTTCCGCAGCCTGGCGTCCCCAGAAAGCTTCCCAGCTTGCATGAGCTGCCGGGCTTGTGTCCAGCCAGAGCAGGCGAGCTGGCTTCCCCTGGCAGCTTGGGCCTCGGGTCAGCTCTCCGGCTGGAGGTGCCGGTGGCTGCAGCTCCGTCACTGAGGCCCAGCCAGCAAACGAGCTAGAGAGAGGCTGTGGGGCGGGTTCATGCCTTGCGTTCCCGCGCTTGGGGGTGGTGGCCAGGGGCCGGAGAAGCCGTGAAGGGCAGGTGGACTCCAGCGCAGGGTCTCTCTAAGGCAGACTAGCAGCGCTGCCATTTGGGGACCCAGTCTGGGATCTCCTCTGGTTCTCTGGCTGCTGGCTGGGGCCAGCCTGGTCAAGCCCAGTGGGGCCGGAAGAGGAATAGGATGGGGATATACCGGGGGTCAGTGGTGGCGTGCACTCAGCAGACCTCTGAATGCAAGAGAGGCCAGGCGGAGTCAGACCAGTGTCCTGCCTGCCGACAGGCCAGTGCCAGCTGCCCCAGAGGGAGGGAACAGAACAGGGAATCACCCTGTGATCCCTCCCCTGTCGCCCATTCCCGGCCCTGACACACAGAGACTTGGGACGCCAGCCCTGCTAATAGCTGTTGTTAGACCTAGCCTCCAGGAAATTATCTAGTGCTTTTTTGAACTCCTGTTATAGTCTTGGCCTTCACCACATCCTCTGGCGAGGAGTTCCACAGGTTGACTGCGCTGCATGAAGAAAAACTTCCTTTTGTTTGTGTTAAACCTGCTGCCTAGTCATTTCACTTGGTGACCCACCCCTAGTTCTGTTTTTATGGGAACAAGTAAATAACTTTTCCTTATTTACGTTCTCCACACCAGCCATGTTTTTGTAGACCTCTCGGATATCCCCCTTAGTCTTCTCTTTTCTAAGCTGAAAAATTCCAGTCTTGTTAATCTCTCCTCATATGGCAGCTGCTCCAAACCAAGGATGTTAAGTATCGTGTAATTGACTCATTGAATAGTTGATGCATTTTTGCATCCACTATTCGATTAGTTGATAGGGTGGTGCTGCCCCTTAAAAATACCGCGGTGGCATTTCAAAGCAGCAGCTGTGACGGACCAGGCCGGGTCTGGGCACAGCTAAGGGCGTCCGCTCAGGGAGAATTGCTCAAACTCGGGACTCCGTACAGCCCCAGACTGGAGACCTTCCCAAATAGGCCACACACCAGACACACGGAGCGCTCCAGCTGCCAGCCTGGCCAGCCAGAAGCCTCACGAGCAAAACCCCTCGGACACCCCAGCTCTCTCTGTGCCCCAAACAGCCCCGGGCCTAGCACAGGTGAGGGGTTATAGAACCCATCTCACCTCCCCCGCACGGGTTCTGTCTGGTCCCAAGAAACCAGCCACAGATCCCTGGTCAATTTACACTCTGGACCTTACCCGCAGATCACGCTGGGCCAATCCTTTAGCATCTAACATCTAGAATCTAGAATCTAACACTGTTCATTACTAAAAGGAAGAAAAGCCGGAGAGTGAGGTTGTTAGGGTAACTTACGTTACATGCACCGAATCTCTCAGTTCTCGATGCAGACTCAGTGGAAGGGAAGCTTTCGTTGAAACACCCCCCATGGGCGCAGCAGTAACCTGGCTGCTTCCCTTAAACTCCGGTAGTGTGACAGCAGAGCCGTGTGGAGTCCCCCGCTGGCCCCGGGCTCTGTGCGGTGCTGCCGCTTTGCAGTACCCCCTCTTCTTTTCCCCTTTTGCCTCTATCTGAGAGAGGCAGCAAGGGAGGGGGAGTGACTAGTCGACTAGCCTGTCGTCTATCCGATAAGCATTTGCGTATCGACTAGTCCTTACCATCCCTACTCCAACCCCTCATCGGTTTTGGTTCCCTTTTCTGAACCTTTTCCAGTGTCGAGGGATCTCTTGCGCTACGGTGCCCTCCCTGCGCGCCGCGCTCGAGATGCGGGCGTCCCGGGGGTTACCCAGCGGCAATACGATCTTCTCCGTCTCCTCCAGACCTTTCTTAAAGATTCCCCCATTCGGTTTGCGTTTGTGGCTGCCGCTGCACATGGAGTGGCTGTTTCAGAGACCTCTCCACAGAGACTCCCAGAGCTCCCTGGCGTGGTGACAGCTAACGTGGTCCCCATCGCTTTATGCACAGTGGCTTTGTGTTTGCCTTTGGGCACTCCATTGCACTCCCCACGTTGCATTTCGTCTGCCGTTTGGTGAGCTCCTTGGGGAGCCCTTCACAGTCTGCCTGCTTCCGAACCATCGTGAGAGGCCGAATCCCCTGCAGGCTCCCTGGTTCCCCCTTTGCCCCGGTCGCTTATGAATAGGTGGGTAGGCCGCTGGGATGGTCGGGGTCCCCCAACGCTGCACCCCCGTAGCAGCACGAACAGACTCCGCCAGTCGGTAGAACGGGGAGGGGCTATCGCCGCTCCAGGACACAGCCCAGCACAGCCGTGACATGGGTAGGGGAGTCAGGGCCAGGATGCCTCAGCCCCCTTGGGTTAGGGGTCCATCGCCCCCCAGGCCCTCAGCACCCAGCTTAGGCTGTTTCCTTCATGTTTCCCAGCCAGCGACTGCCCAGCTCCCAGGCCCTGCCCCCAGCCAGGTGGCCGTCCCCGCCCTCCCTTTGTCTCCCCCCTGGGAAGAGGCTTGTTA